CCCGAAGCGCAAGACCAACAATGTTATTCGACAAAGTACTGTTGTTTATCATCTCGAGGGTCGTACCCTCAATCTCAGAACAAAGAGGACCGATGGCAGGGACTATTTTCTTGGTGTAGACAAGAAGATTACGATCCATTAGGATCGCAATAGTCTTGGAGCCCATTTGCAACCTCAATTCGAGTTGAGTGAGTCCCTCATCGATCATCCTCAACTCATCCATATCCATGTCAGAGTCAGATCCAACATCCTCCTCAGCAATGACCTTCCCTCTGTCATCAGCCGTAGAAGGAAGATCTACTGCGACCCCAGAAGACGAGGCCTCCTCCTGTCTCGGAAGTGTAGGCTGTCATTATGTACCTCACCCTCGACTGTGTCCCCTGCGGGACGCATTGAAGATCTCATTCTCATCTCCTCCAAGTGCGAGGCCTCGGGACCTGCCTCGGGGCTCTCTCCAATGTGCACGGTGGCCGTCTCTCAAAGAACAAAGCCACAATCCCCCAAATCAATAGCTACCAGCCTCTTTCCCCCGCATCTACGGCTCTCCTCTTACGAGGCATTAGACCACCGTCATCAAGAGAGACATTGTCCTCATAAACTAGTGAAAGGAGTTGAGGATCAGAAGCAGTAGACAAAATGAAGACAGGCTCTCGGACTGCGGTAGATGAGGTTGAGACCGGCATGGAAGGCGTAGTAGTCGCAACAGAAGTAAACGCTGAAGGCGCAACAACCGTATTTTAGAAAGCGGGCACCGATGCCTGACTCCTTCGAGAAGATCCCCTGCCTGAGAAAAAGACACAACATCAAGTTAGCAAAACGAATCCATACACAATGGGAAGTGGAACGACCACGATCAAAGAAAAGAAATTACATGTCGAAGGAAGAGCAGGTTTGAATCTCTTGAAAAAACTTATCCAATCGAGGATCCCTACGATATGGGGGAGGAGTCGCTCGACCCAATCAGAGATATGAGCGACAGAGGAGGAGGCTGGCTATTGGCTGCAAAAGAGGAAAGTGAGAAATCAGAATTCAGAACCAAACAAACGCAGAAAAAACAAGGCACTCACGAGTGTAGTTCCAAGCCTCAGGAAAGCCATTGACATTGGTCACGACGCCCTCGATTCTGACAAAGAAGAAGAAAGCAAGAACTGATGATTGGCTTTGTCGTCCATCTTCACCACCAAACATTTGCCTTCTCGGTGGCGAAGGTTCCTATAGAAGCCAGGGGCGAATAGATGTACTAAGTGCCACAATATTAGTTAGACCCCGGTCAACTCGGCAAACTTAGTCAGCATCTTGATAACCTTGTAGACGTACGACGCAAGCTGAGCAGGGCAGACGCCGTAGTGACGACAAAATTCTTCCACCAACGGAAGGGGGGGAAGAATAGCCGACGAGGAATGGGTAGGCATAAAGAGCGCAGTACCTAGAGCGATGAACCTGTACCATGTCCCCTTTAGCCGGTATTAGCTCGACATGGTTTGGAAGGCCAAATTTGGCCTTGAGTTCCGCCAATTCCTTAGGCGTCATCGTCGATTTAAAGACTCCAGGCGCGGAGTCCGGTACTTTGGTGAGGTCGAACCTGGAGTCAGGATTATGGGGGATTATTTCCTCCACCGATGGGAAGCCTTCATCCTCAACAATGGCGGAAACACTTTCCCCATGGGAGTGAAACACCACTACTAAGGGAGCAACACGACTCCCTTCACCAACATTAGAAGATATGTTTGACATGATTCAAGGTAGTGAAGGAAAGTAACAAACGAGAGAGAATGAAAAATGATATAGGTCAATGAAACAGAGAAAGGAGATTCATAGAAGAAGAGAGTAGGAGAGAAGTTTGGTGCTTCGAAACATTGGAGGATTTAAAATTTCAAAAGCAGGTCCAAGAGTCCCTATTTATAGAAATCATGGCACTGAAACAAAAAACGGTTCATCATAATTGGCACCTGAATCGAAGCGAAAGGTCTAATCAAGGGTCACACACGAAACAAAGCTATACATCGAGAATATGTGTCATAATGACGCATGATGTCATGACATCATCCTAACCCTTGGACAGGATAACTCCAACAAATCACCCTGGAAATTCGAAGCATTTGAAATATGTGGCTCACGGAGGGCCACGTCGCCCGTTCGCCACAACAACCATGACCTGTATAGTCTGCTTGATAAGCTCGACCACCAACAACATGATCCGCTCATCGAGTTGGCCCGCGAAGTCGACCTAAATAAGCGGAGGAACTAACTGTATGGGTCAAAATGTATCTCTAAAATGCTTAAGTCATGATAGCATTAGTGAGGCATTCACAGGCCGCTATGTGTCGCCAATATGACTCCAATAGAGACCTGCCCGAGGTCAAAGTGGTTCAAGGGAACAATGAAGGCTGCGGTCGAGGAGTCAACAAGTATTAAGGTCGAGGAGTCATTAAAGATCGAGGTCGAGGCCGAACACCCTTGACAGAGTTATAACGGCTAGTTCCAAGATATGACATAAAAGAGAATATTCTAGTGGATATTCTTTGCACTTGTACTATTAGGGTTTCTAGGAACATGTTCCGTATAAATAGAAAGAGACACAATGATAGAGGACATGTGATATTTATTTATAAAAAACACATTGACTTTATAGAAAGAATCTAGTCTTAACGCATATATACAACACAACCTTTTTACCAAGATTCTTGTTTAGCATTTCCACCGGATCCAAGAACATCTCAAGTATTCAAAGTCTTATCAATCATTCGTCATTATGAGAAAGAATAACCACTGATTTCATCCCTTTTTCAGTCAACTCACACGTTTTATTTACCTAAATGCTATTTATTACTATTTAATGCCATATTCCATCTTTTTGGATCATTGAATATCGTTATCATTGCTCATATTCATTATCATCCGGACAAAATATATTAGTTATTTTGTCTTGACACCAGTAACTTTATCTTTGGGGTATTAGTTTTAACTAAGAATAACTCTTTTTATATAAATCTAATCGGTTGAGCCAAAACCTATATTTTTGATCAAACATAACGTATAACAATAACTGAATTCAGCTAAAACTACGGATTCAAGTTTATATACTAAGGGGCCGTTTGGTAGGATGTATTAGGAAAAATAATATATGTATTAACTTTGGGATTATTAATCTCTTGTTTAGTAGTATTTTTTAATATATGTATTACTAATATTTGTATTAGTTATACATCTTATTCAGTAAAATTCTTATACGTAGCAAACCATGATATTAACAATATCATGGTTTTTAATATATAGATAGGCATGTATAAAGACAGAGCTGCACTTTCAAAATCTTTTCAAAACTGTCGGAGGTTATTTTTGTAACATAATTATTTTAAAATATTAAGCAATAGATGTTATTTTTAATATACCAAACAAAAAAATAGATAAGAAATAATTCCACCATAATTAATTTCACCATAAATAATATCAGTATTACTAATATCAGCATTACTAATATACTTTATATTCAATACTATTCTTATACACCCTGCCAAATAACCCTTTAAGTCCCCAACAGTGCAAATGACGTTTGTTCTATCAATTCGATTTAATCTGACAAAAGCATGTTGTTTTACTATAGTTTCCACGTTAACATCAGGCTTCCTGCAAAGAGTTAGCCGTTGTAAGTTAATTTAACTTTTATAGTGTAAAGTTTATATATTATCGTCGCTGCGTAAAACTTAAATTCGTTAACTTATTGCGTCAACAAAAAAGAATCATATAAAGATGGGATAGAAATAATTTAAGAATTCCTCTTATGCCGTCTTACCATAAAAATTCTTTTTAAAGTCTAATGCTTTGAGTGGTTCCTTCTAGTGCTTTTCTTTCCTTTTACCTTTGTTTTTTCCGGATACGGATCCAGGATTTAAATTCTACGGGTTCAACTTTTAATTTTTTTAGCATTGAGCCCATTATATTTTTAAAGTTATGGATTCATATATACTATTTTTACAATTTTAGTGAATTTTTACATATAAATTTTTACTCCGCATAAAAAATTATGGGTTCAATTGAACCCATCGACTATATACTACATCCGCCTCTGGTTTTTTCCCCAATTATTTTGGAGAATAGACAGTGAGATAAAGTAAAAATTCAAGGTGTTGAAACTCACAGAGATAAATAGTAGTCGGCAATCCACGCAACTAGGACAATATAAGCAGAATTAATAAATTTAACTCATATATATTGATAGCGCTTGTACTATCAATATTATGTTACCTATCGTAATAGGTTAGTTTAATCTACTTTATATTAAACAATTACTTGTATTTTTTTAAAAAAAATAATTTGCATTTAATGTATAGTAGTTAAACAGACGCAGGATATTCAATTTTGTTATTATTGTTTCAATAATCTGAGATTAATAAAAGTTAAGGATGAGGAACACATTACTTAATTACCCACTTGAGTATGAGATTACGAAAGTACATTATCAGTAGCAAACAACAAATTGACTAGTGGTATGGTTTAGTGGAGAGCCCTTTGAAAAATCTTACTTCATTTAACTCCACTAGTTGCACTTTATGTTTTTTTTTTTTTTTTGTATAATATTATAGAGTAAAGTTGCTAGTTTTAATTTGGAGTTGGGTGTAAGAATTGACAGGTAAGAAAGGGATATCTTATGACCTAATTACGTATCTCAAATAATCCATTTCACTTCTCGCAATTATTTTTCCAAACACTTCTAACAATCACAATGGTTAAAAATGATTGAATAATAGTGGGGTGTTCATCACTCATATCAAACTTCCCAATTTTCTTTCCATTCTTTATGGTATTTTTTCGTTTTTCTCTCGATGTTTACACCAAATATATCTATTAATCGTGATTATATGATAAATAAATACGAGAAAATAAGTAATAATTAACCATGATTAAATGACAAAATATTATCGTGTCATATTTTATAGATTTAATATAAGTATCAAGTGAAAAGAAAAGGGGCAGCTCGATGCACTAAGCTCTCGGTTCGAAGTATTTTCCAAGCATGAAAAAAAAAACCTATCGTTATTGCCCTCCGAAGTCTACTTCCAAACTCTCTCTTTGCCTGATGGCTGATGCAACCTTCCAATAACATATGAGTTCAAACACAACTGTCTTCAATTCAAGTTATATATTTTTTCACTAATTGCACTTTACATGATTTAATCATATTATGGAGTACTAAAATAGCTTTGAAGTAGGATAAAAAAATTACGTTAAAAAGGGAAGATCAATTACGTAATCACATATCAAATACTCCACTACACTTCTCCATTGGTAACTATTATCAAATTCCTCAATTTTCTCCTTCTATTCTTACCATTTTATTTATGTGACACAATTTAGACTACGACCGTTAAATGGATTAATTTAATGTTTTTGACTTGTGTGTAGCCATGGAGTATTTGCACACGACGATAAGTAAAAACGTGACACGTTGGCCCATAACGGGCCCCACACTATTTTGTTTCTTCATGACTAAGCTTTAGCCCCTGGGCCCAATGGAGCTTATATACACCAAATATTTTAAAAGTCGAATTACTAACCCACCCAATAATGCCACCTGACTCAAAAGATATTATGCAATGACTAAATTACCCTCGATTACCACCTTCACACCCTTTCCCTCTTGCCTTTAAATACTACACTCTTTACCTTGTTCCCTCCTTGTTCTACTTCTAACTTCCCAACCCCTTCTATAAGAAATTTTCCGATCATGTTGTCCACTTTCCCGGCCATTATTCTGTCCTCCGATGGAACTTTTCCTAGCCAATTTTCTTCTTTTTATGATGGTTTCTTTCCATTGAATTGTCTCGAATCGACTTTTATATTTTCCGAACAAATGGTAGAATTGACTTTTCAAACCCCAACCCTTGAATCGGTTATTTTTCACTCTGGTTCAGGTTCGGATAATTCTAAGCCTGATTCTCCTAATTCTAGTTTCGGTTCAGATGAATCGAACATGAATAATCATAGCCCATGGGAATGCCTTGAATCGGCTTTTACATTACCAGAACAAGGGGTAGATTCGGTTTTTACACCGAAGCAATCCCCAACCCCTGAACCGGTCATTTCAAACTGTGGTTCAGGTCCTGATAAATATATAACCGATTCTCCTAATTCTAGCTCCGGTTCAGATGAACTAAACATGAACAATGATAGCCCAAACTCCGGTTCGGATATTTTGTTCATAAACGAAAGGAAGCGGAAGCGTATGATTTCGAACCGTGAGTCAGCAAGGAGGTCCCGCATACGAAAAGAAAAACATCTCGAGAATTTGAGGAACCAAGCGAACCGGCATAAAGCTGAAAACCGAGATTTAACGAACCGGGTTCACTTGGTAACCAGTCATTGCCAACTTGTCCAAAGAAACAACGAGATGCTACGAACCGAATTGGTTTTACTCCAACAAAGACTCGAGAGTATACGTGAAATCTTACTCGCACAGCAACTTCAGCAGCAATTGTACAATTCCTCTGCATGGCCATGCAATAATTACGTGGAACAAACACCACAAATCATCACTAATCAACCTATAATATATCATCATTAAAACCTGCATGGTTATTATAAACCTGGATTAACCAAAAAAGATTCCCCCCCCCCCCCCCAAA